TACATTAACACCAGTCTGTAGTCCAAAGACCTATTTGGAACTTTTACACTGTGTGGAATAGCTGCCGACACCCAAGAAACACAGAAAAGAGTGGTTTTCACAATTTGGAGGGAATGTCGGATGGTACAGCTTTCCTTTCTCTTACTGGGATGAGTAGGCCCCTCTTGGATTCAAGTCCAATTCCTCTCTCCACCTGTCATCTGTCAGCACCACAAACCCCCTTTCCATTCTGAGGACCCGGTTCCAAAGTCTCTATGTCCATGGAGACTCTACCACTCCCATCAGCATATAAACATGATGTAACTTCTCCCACCTTAAACACACCCCACTAGGCCTTTAAGCACCTTAGATCCTGCATTACGTTTAAAGTTCACCATGTACTAACCAAACTGCAAAATATCTGGAATTCAAATTCTGATTTTAACTATGGTAAAGCCTTAAGAGTTCTTACAGAACCAATCCCCTTTCATACAACATGGAAGATTTTCACAGAGCAAAAGAAACCAGACACACAGGAGACCTGCTGTGAGATTTCATTTATCTGAAGTTCAAGAACAGCCCACAACCCATCTATGAGCAGAATCAGATCAATGTGGGGTGGGGGAACAGACAGGAGAACTGCACCAAATTTCTAGTGTTCTGGAAATGACCTCAATCCTGATCTGGTTAATGGTTACAGCAGCATATAGATTTATTTTAAAAATTCACCGACCTGTACCCTTCATGTCTGTGTCCTTTATGTGCTTTACCACGTTTAAGTTCCAACTCGCCAAAAGAGTTGAAGACAAATACTTATACTTTTCCTTACGGAATCTGTATTACGATAGTCAGCCATTTCCCTAACAGACTGGGGGATAAAGCAGCCATGTAGACCCCATACCCACCTCTAACAAGTGCCCCGGACCTCTGGTCCCCAGTTCATCACTATCTCTTTGGAACCTTTTGTTCCCTTGGCTCCAGGTCACCCCTCTGCTCATATTCCTATCATCTATACACTAACAGCTCCAAATGGAGCATACTTGTACAGTTGCTAATAAGATGACAGGACATCTGAGATTTGCTTTTAAAAAAGTAAAGAAACTCCAAGTAAAAAGTGTGGTTATGTGTTAGAGGGGAGCATAGAACAAGAGAAGTAAAATATAGATGACTATCAATACTGAGTGATGGGTATGTGAGGTTTTTTTTTTTTTTTTTTTTTGGAAGATTTATTTATTCATGAGAGACAGAGAGAGAGAGGCACAGACACAGGTAGAGGGAGAAGCAGGCTCCATTCCATGCAGGGAGCCTGACGTGGGACTCGATCCCAGGTCTCCAGGACTACACCCTGGGCTGAAAGCGGTGCTAAACCACTGAGCCACCCAGGCTGCCCTGTGAGAATTCTTTATAGCATAATACCTTTGTATATGCTTTTAACATTTCATAATGAAAAAAAATTCATGAAATTTCATAAAGAAAAGTCAATAAAAATTGTATTATCTACAAACCCTGGCTTCTCCCCTAACTGCCACTCCTTACTTGATGTCCAGTTGAGTATCTCAGAGTTAGTTAGTTCAAAGCTTGTCAATTTCCCATCAAGAGGACTCTCATGCATTTTCGCCAAAAAGCATCACTCTTTATTCAGTTGGTCAAACCTCAAACCTTTTGGATAACTTTTAAGTCATCCCTGATTCATGCTTCCTCTCACACAACCCTCTTCCTGAGTCACCATCATCTCCTGTCCAGGCAGGGACATGGACTTCCTCATCGCCTGTGTCCACACCTGCCCAGCTGCAGGTCTTTCTCCTTGCAACAACTAGCACCGCTTTAACTTTTTTGTGCATAAACAGTCAGATGGCTCAAAACTGCAGAAGTCTTAAACAGTCATCCTCACAACTCTGATCCATAGGTCTATGACCTTCATCCCCACAAGCAACCACGGTCATTAATTTGGGGTGTTCACTAGAGATATTTTGATAAAAAATACATTCCAACATGCTGGTCCTTGCTCATGGCCCTTCAATGGCTTTCTGCTACACTTGGGAAGTGACTTCCAAAGCCCTTACCATGGCCTATAAGACCCTATGGAACCTGGCCCCTCTCCATAGCTCCATTCCTAAACAATCCTTCTTCTCTTCCCTTTGCTCTGCTCTAGTCACTCTGGTCACCTTGACAATCAATCTCTGAATACCCATCCCCTCTCACACTTCTTCCAGAGGTCTTTCCACGGACTGTTTTTCAGCATCTTCATGTGGCTCATTCCCTTACCTTTTTTCAGGCCTCTGTTCAAATGTCTGACCACCTGTCACTCTGACCTCTGTTACTCGAAATTTCCTTATCCTGACTTTTCCTTCCAAGCATCTTTTACCTGACATCAACTTCTCTACTAGAATATTTGCTGGTGGAGGGCAGGTGCTCTTTCACTGTAGGATCTCTAGCTTACAGGCCATGCTTGGCAGCTGACTAAACTTCCATAATTCATTCAATATATGAATGAATAAAATTAATAGAGACATGAATGAAGAAATGGATTTAGCAATGGCTCTCAACACTCCCTGGCTTGTACCCTGGACCCACCAATTCTACTTCAAACAAGATATCACTGATAATACTGCCATATACATGCAATCAGATATACAAGGCTATCAACTGCAGCAAATGTTTGTGAGAGCTAAAGTTCAGAAACAGCCTAAAAGTTTATCAATAAGGACATGGTTAAAGCATGGTATATCCACACAACTATTTCACCAATATAAGAAAAGGCAGGTCTCTGGGTGCTTGTCTGCACCACTGACTCACCACGAGGCAGGCTGCCCACTGCCAGGGGAAAATATGTGGGCTTGCTCTGTGGTGAGACAGGCTTGCATTTGAATCCAGGCCCTGCTGCTTCCTGGCTACGGGACTTCAGTAAGGACTTCTCCTTCAGGCTCACTTTCTGCATCTGTTAATTGGGGAGGGGAAACGTTTATTGCTGTATATAAAACACCGCCTGGTACACAATGAGCCCAATGTCAATGTTAGGCCCCTTCTTTTCCCTTTTAAGTCATTTCCACCTGAGGGTTGCTCAGATTTGTGCAACTGGCATGGAGGGTAATCCAGGATTGGGAAATTTAATTTAATTAAGAAAAACTGATATCGGGACACCTGGGTGGCTCAGTTAAGCATCTGCCTTTGGCTTAGGTCATGATTCCAGGGTCCTGGAATTGGCCCCATGTCCAGCCTCATGGCCACTTCCTGCTCAGCAGGGAGCCTGCTTCTGCCTCCCCGCCGCTGCTTGTGCGTGCTTGTGTGTCTCTCATCTCCATCTCAAATGAATAAATTTAAAAATCTTAAAAAAAAAAAAAAGTCTGATATGACCTGAGATGAAGATGCTAAAGAGGAACACTGACATAATACAGACAGCTTGACTGTCATGTATGTCTCTGGGAAATAACCAGTCTTTGGTAATCTGTAAAATGGACTCTCAACTTAGGTCTGTGTGACTAGTGATTTCGCCCAGCCTGTGGCAGCCTGGAGAAACACTTCCACCTGGCACAGGTACTGAGAAAATGGCAACAGGGATGAGGCTTAGAGGGGAGAGGGGAGCTCAGAATCAATCGCTATCACTACCATCGTAAACCACAAAACACGACAACACATAGTGTTACTATGCACCAGACACTGTTCTGGACACTTTCACCCATTTAACCCTGCCAGTAACATCACAAGGTGCTGCCATCTCCATTTTAAAAACAGGGGCGGGGGGGGGGGGGTGGGGGGGGTGGGGGGGGTGGGTGAGGGCACTTGGCTAAGGTCGGCTGCCATTTATGTGAACCCAGGATCAAGCTCTTAACCGCCAATGCTTTGCTTAACAGGAGTTCCAGAAGGAAACTGGGAGCCAGTGCTTTAGAAACAGAATATGGCTGGGATCCCTGGGTGGCTCCGCGGTTTAGCGCCTGCCTTCAGCCCAGGGCATGGGATCGAGTCCCACATCGGGCTCCCTGCATGGAGCCTGCTTCTCCCTCTGCCTGTGTCTCTGCCTCTCTCTCTCTGCCACTAATGAATGAATGAATAAAATCTTTTAAAAAAATAAATAAATAAAAAATAAAATCTTAAAAAAGAAACAATATAGGAACCAGAGTAGGAGACTTACTTTTATTGTGTACCCCACTGGCTGCTTGAATTTTGTCAGAATGTACATGTATTCCCTGTTCAAACAGAAATTTTAAAACACTAAATAAGACTTCAAATGAAGAATCGTCAATTCCCCCATTAGCGGATATGAATGAATCACTCTCCTCCAACTAAGGTAACCGCCGGCCTCGGCTCAGGCGCTGCGCATGCGCCCTCCGCGGGCCGCGCTCTCCGCGGGCGGCGCTCTCCGCCCGCTATTCCCCTCTGGCGCGCACCGGGCTTGACTTTTCGACCCTTAGTCCTGGGTTTCTCTTCCCCTGGAGCCGCCGAGGGACTTACTACGTGTCCTGTTCCTCCCAGTCCGTGTCTCCCATGCCTTCGGGATAGAATTTGCCCCCTTGGAAGCCCTTCAGGATCTGAACTGCCCTTCTGTGCGCCCTCACCTCCCAACCCAGGGAAACGGAATCCAAGCCAGTCTAGACCTTTCCCCGTTGGGAGTGCCCTTGGCCGCCCTTCAAGGTCCAACCGGACCCAGACCCTTTCCCTAAGTGATTTGATCTGTCTCCCTCCACAGAACGGGATGTCTTTCAGCGTCCACGCCGGGTCTGTTTCATTCCTGTGTTCTCGGCACTTACTCCGCTCAGGACCCTGAAATCCCTCGCAGCCGCCCCCACCCCACCGAAGCCAGCCAACTCCACTGACGGGGCGGGACTCGAACCTGCCACGTCCGGAACTGCCCTCTCTCCCTCTGCGTTAGACTGCCACACAGCCCCCGCCCCGCCAGGCGCACGCGCACTGAGTCGGAGCCGCAGCGTTCTCCCTCCTCCCCTCCGTCGTCCGCCAGCGTGCTGAGGCCAACCACCGCCATCCACGCATGCTCAGCCCGGCGCGGACGCTCAGTTCTCGCGCGCCCAGCCCTCGGCGCATGCGCAAGGCCAGCACCCGGCGGGTCTAGCTCTCAGCTCAGTCCCGCGCTACCTCCTCTTCCTCTTTCAGCCCTGCGTTTCTTGGGTGCAGCTTCCGGGGTGCCTAGGCCGGTTCCAGAGTGGCCAATTCCTGCTTTTTCGGTACTTTTCCCACGCCCTTTGTCCCCCAGACGCCATTTACAGGCCCGTGGCTCGTGGTGGAACCTCCCCCCACCAGCCCCGTCACGGAAAGCGCGCGTAGCGCTGCGCCCCAAGAGCCAATCAGCAGCCGTCTTAGGTAAGGGGCCCGCGAGCCCGCGCGAGGCTCGTGCGCCGGCAGGGGGGCGGGGCGCGGGGGCGCGTTGGGGGCCCCGCCCCCTTTTCGACCGTTAAACGGTCGCTCTGACTCCCGGCGGGTGTCTAACTGAGTAGGGAGCCTAGAGCGAACCTTAAGTTACCGGGTTGGCGGGCGTTGGGGGTTGGGGCCGGTGAATAATGTGTAAATAGGGACTTCGGTTCTGGGAGGGCCTAATAGGGCCTGTAACCTGGCCGTGAAGTATTGCAAAGATCCCAGCGATAGCGTTTAAAGGGAAACTTTAAGTTTGGGGAACACGCTCGCAGAGGGTCTACAAACAGACGCTATGTACGCGGAAGGTTTTCCATATAGTGTGTAAAAAGGAAACTTAAGTTGTAGGGTTCCCCACAGGAAGCCTCTTAAGCAGGTGCCTAATTTGAGCGATGCCGTCTGAATACAGTCCATAGACTGTTGTAAAGTTGTAGGGGGGGCGCCCCATGGACAAAACTTGTAAATACACGTGTTTAAGTGTCAGTCCTTAGAAAAATCGTGTGAATCGACCGTTAGGTTCTGGGGGTGGGGGATGGGCATAAATACGGAGTTAGGAATTAGGAGTGTGCAAATAGACACTTGGGTTCAGGGAGTGTCCCCTGCAAGGGTCACGGGAAGAGATGCGCCAAGGGCTGAGGAAACTTCCCCCACAGAATGCCTAGGTAGATTCCTGACGTCGGGGAGGTCGCCGACCAGAGTCCTGTAAATAAACACAGACTGGCTTCAAAACGTCTTGAGAGAATCGGCAAAGGAGCCTGGAAACATTGGAGGTCCCCAGATTGCATGTAGGTGTTCTCAGATTCTGGGGAGCTCCCCCTCCCCCATGGAGCTATCAAGTAGAGGCAAATACTGTGGAAGTGCCCAGAATAACCTGCAGGGGGACATTTTCTGTGTGGGAAGGGGGTCCTCTTGGCGTGTAAACAGACATTTGAGCCCTAGGCTGGATGGAGTCCTGGTGGAGGAGAGAAAAGAGACACTTGAGGCCTGGAATAGAATAGGGGGTGGGGCCATCTCCAGAATAATGTATAAACCCACATTTAAGTGCAAATGGAGGAGTCCCAATTTCTGGGGGAATCTCCCTCAGAGACTATAAACAGTCATTGAAGTGCTGAGTGGATCATTTTCCAGAAGCATGTGTAAACAGGCCTTACCCTCCTGTCTCTGAAGGCAGTCTTCAGCTCGGTTTGTGGCTGGAGGAGAGGTCACTTGGAGCAGTGAGGAGCTAGACAGGCCCCTGCCTGGCTAGCAAAATTACTCCCACATCCTGTAAACACTTAACTGCAGTCTGGAGAAAGGGTCTCGCACAGGGACCTATTAGTCACTGTTTGTTTGGATGGGGTAGGGGGGGATTCATAGGATAATTTCACAGGCACTTAAGAGCTAAGCAAGGGTCAGCAGACTTTCTGTAAAAAGAGGCAAATTGTTTGAGATTCTGCAGGCCACACTGCCTGTCTCAACTACTCAACTCCGCCATTGTATCAAAAAGGCAGCTGTAGACAATGTGTAAATTGATGGATGTGGCTGTGTTCCAATAAAACTTTATTTACGAAAACAGAAGGCAGCCCTGATTTGGTCCATAGACTACAGTTTAACTTGACCTGTGAGCTATATAGTAAATGGCCTCATAGCAAACAGACTGTTAAGTACTCTGACACTTCCCTAGAAGTGTAAACAGCTGGGGAAACTCCCTAGAGGGACCAATAAAGATAGTTAAATGATAGGGAGTGGATTATATAGGTAGCAGTACATTTTATAACATCTTAGGTTAACCACTGGTGAGACGTTGGAGTGTGAGGGATGGCAGACCATCAGAAATGGAAGGTAAACAGACTGACACCGGGTGAGACACCAGATGAAAATAGGCTCTTAAATGCCCCGCATATGCCAGTGTTAGGTTATCAAAACAATAGTTGTTGGAATGAGGACCAATGTTACTGATTTGTAAGGAAATGGTTTGCTGCAGTTTGGGAAAGAAGATGTCCCATTTTTATGTGACCCTCCCCCTCCCTCTGAGTTATACTTATTTGGGGGCAAAGTAATTAATAGTTGGGAATAGTTTTAGCTACAAGTAAGATAAAAATGTATTTGTTTCTCAGTACATCCAAAAGTAGACAACATAAGGTTAATAGGGGACCCCTGAATCATTTTCTCCCATGCTTTCTTTCCTCCCTTCCAGTCCAGGGTGGCTGCTTGAGCTCCAGCCTGCACACCACATTCCTTCCAGCCAGGAGGAGGGCAAAAGGCATGTTCTAGTGTCTGAAGGGAAGTTTCTGAAAGCTGCCAAAACACACTTCTGGTGTCCTACCATTGGCCAGAAAGAACTTAATCACATGGCCATCTACCTGCAAATTATGCTGAGAAGTGTGTTCTGGGCAGCCACGTGCCCTGCTCAGAACTGAGGGTTTTATTTTTTTTGGAAGAAGTGAAGGGAGAATAGATCTTGAGCCAGCTGGCAATCACTACCACAGCCACAGAGCTCTCTGGAAAAGAAGTGCCTTCTTACATTCCAGGGTAAGCCAGATTTAAGAGCATCTCTTCACCCTGAAATCAACCTCTTTCTCTCTGTAGGCAACCATGTCTGAGTCTGGCCATAGTCAGCCTGGGCTCTATGGGATAGAGAGGCGTCGGCGGTGGAAGGAGCCTGGCCCTGGCGGCCCCCAGAACCTTTCTGGCCCTGGTGGTCGGGAGAGGGACTACATTGCCCCATGGGAGAGAGAGAGACGGGTGAGTGAGTGGGCAAGGGCAGCATCCCTGTATCCACTTGTTCCACAAATGTTTTTTAAGCACCTGCTAGTGCCAGGCACTAATCTAAATGCTGGGCATCTGTGAACAAAACTGGCCTCATGGAATAAGGACAGAGAGTGACAAAGGGAGCTGTCTTAGATGAAGTGGCCAGAGAGGGCCTCCCTGAAGAGGTGAGGAAATACACCACGACAAAATCTGAGTGAAGAGCGTTCTTGGACAGATACGAAGCAGATGTGAAGGCACTGAGCTCTATGTCTGGTGTATTCAGGGAGTAGCCAGGAAGCCAATGTGGCTGCAGAGGCTGAAGAAGAAGGGAAGGTGATAGAAGATAATGTCAGAGAGGTAACTCAGGTCAGATCACGTTGGACCTGAGAGGCCTGGGAAGGGACTTGGGATTTCACTGAATGAAATTGGCATTGGAGAGTTTGAGGTGAAAGGTGCCATAAGCTCATGTTTTTTTTTGTTTGTTTGTTTTTCATAAGCTCATGTTTTAAAGAGTCATACGATAGCAGCTGTTTCTTTTTCTTAAGATTGATTTGATAAGGAACACGTGCATGCACAGCATGCAAGCCAGGGGAGGGAGAGAAACAAGCAGATTCTGCACTGAGCTCAGAACCTGACACAGGGCTAGAACCCCTGACCCCGAGATCATGACCTGAGCCGAGATCGAGTCAGATGCTCAACCAACTGAGCCACTCAGGCCCCATAACGACAGCAGCTGTTACTGTCTGTTGAGCAGCATGTGGTATGCTGGCACTGTGCAAAGTGCTTTAACATCATTTGGGTCTTCCTGAACCCTTTGAGCTACCCCATGAAGTAGAACTAGGATAGATTGGATTTCCACTAATGAAAGAAAATGAATCTCAGAGAAGGGACTGCCCCAAAGTCACAGTCAGTAAGCTTTGGGGCTAGAACTCAAACCCAGATCCAGCTAAGCCCAAGTCCAGCCTGTTCTGTGTGCTGTAGTGTCCTGGGTGGGGAGTCCGGAGTCTTGACGAGGGCACAGATCCTGTCTTGTTCCTGTCCTGTGCCTAGGGGACTTCCTGCCAGAACCTGTCCCTGCCCGCCCCCCAAGTTCTTCATCCAGGGCCCTGCCCACCTCTAAGAGGTTTGTTGGGGTGGAAGACTGGTAATAATTGGGACCAGTTTCTGAAACATAAAAGTGCAAACATGAAGAATAATTTGTTCACAGTGAGCTCAGCTCTTGCTTGTTCCTTCCCTTGGGTTGTAGCACAGGTGAGAACAGAGGGTCTCTCTTCCTTCCACACGCCGGCCTGAGGAACATTCCCATCTTCCTGTACTGTCAGCTTAAGTCCCTGGTTGAACAACTCCAGAGTCTCTTGTCTCTGTCTTTGCCATTGAGCCCTGGCAGCCTCCTGACTGGTCAGTGGCCTCCTCACACCCTCCATGTCCCCTGCTGCCCTCAGCAACTTCCTCCCAATATCCATGTCAGCCCATCGGGTATCATCCTGGACACCCCCACCCCACGCCTGTCAGGCACCAGTGCTATACATTGTGCCTCCTGAATACCATCTCCTGTCTACCATCTTCTGTCTACCCTCCCAGCCTCGACCCTGGCTGTCCTCCCTCCTCCCTGGCCTTTGGAAAGCCCAAAGTCTCTCCTGTAGTTCTGTCTCAACTGTTGCCTGCAGAGTACTTCTCATGCCCTCTTGTTTGTTCTTCACCATAGGCCAGTCTCTCCAGTATATGGGGAAGAAACAATCCCAGTGAAGGTTCATGGCTCTCATGAGGTTCCTCAGGGAACCAGGAAAGAACAAGACTCAAACTCAGATCTCTCCCCTTTCTTATTAAGCAGACCCTGGGGGTGAGTCAAAAGAAGCCTGAGGAGGGTGAGGTGTGGGAATTAGGCCACTGGCTTGGCAAGCACAAGAGTGGAGCTGAGGGAAAATTGGGATAGAATCTGTGAGATTGCAAGCCCCTGCCTCTCCCCTCCGCCTCATGGACCGTGGACCGTTTACAAGTTCATCTGCTTTCAGCCTTGCGGCAATCCCATGAAGCACTTCTATCCTTGTTGGCCAAGTGAGGAAATTAGCTGAAGTGAGGGTGGTTCCTTTTTTTTTTTAATTTTTTTTTAATTTTTATTTATTTATGATAGAGAGAGAGAGAGGCAGAGACATAGGCAGAGGGAGAAGCAGGCTCCATGCACCGGGAGCCTGACGTGGGACTCGATCCCCGCTCTCCAGGATCGCGCCCTGGGCCAAAGGCAGGCGCTAAACCGCTGCGCCACCCAGGGATCCCGTGAGGGTGGTTCCTTATTCAAGTTCACACAGCCAACAAAAGGCAGGGCCAAGTTTGAACCCAGATCTAGCTCCAGAGCCCTGGCTCCTCCTGCCTGGTCTTGTCTGGTAGAGGCAGCCAAATGTGTTCTGGAACTAGGCTGCCAAGGCTCAAATCCTGGCTCTGTTGCTTATTGACTGCATAACCTGGGGCAAGCCATTTCAACCTCTCTGGACCTCAGCCTCTTCATTTGTAAAATGGAGATAACAGTATGTATATCTCGGGGTTGGTGGTGAAATTGAAGAAGTTAATATATGAAGGTATTTAGAATTGTACCTGGCACATGAAGGCCTTCGGGAGTGTCCAGGAGAGCCAGGGGAACTGTTCCTGAGTCAACTGCTCTCCCTCACCACAGGATGGCAGTGAAGAGACGAGCTCCTCGGTCATGCAGAAAACCCCCATCATCCTCTCAAAACCTCCAGCCGAGCGGGTGAGCAGGGAAGAATCTTCTGAAGGGGGGAGGCCGGGAGCAGTTAGGTCAGGGATCTCTCCCATTGACTGGAAGTTTCTCTGTCCCATAGTCAAAGCAGCCACCACCTCCAACAGCCCCTGCCACCCCACCTGCTCCAGCCCCTCTTGAGAAGCCTATCGTCCTCATGAAACCACGGGAAGAGGGGAAAGGGCCTGCAACTGTGACAAATGTCTCAACCCCCGAGGGCACTGCCCCTGCACCCGCTGCAGCTCCAGCACCACCCAAGGGAGAAAAGGAGGGGCAGAGACCCACACAGCCTGTGTATCAGATTCAGAACCGAGGCATGGGCACTGCCGCACCAGCAGCCATGGACCGTGAGTTGGGGCCGGGCAGGATCTGGTTAGGAGCTGGAATGCCCTCACACAGACCCTTACCATGTCCTGTCTCCTTCTTTCTCCTGTCTCCAGCTGTCGTGGGCCAGGCCAAACTACTGCCCCCAGAACGCATGAAGCACAGCATCAAGTTGGTAGACGACCAGATGAACTGGTGTGACAGCGCCATTGAGGTACTGAGATGAGAGGTTGTGTCTCCATGTCCCACATCTCGCCACCTCCACCCCACCTCCCGACTGCCACTCTTTCCAGACAGCTTTGAGGCGATGAGAGAGAAGGAATCAAAGTTCTCACCTGCCCAGGACTGAATTGCAGTGGCTTCCACTAGATCAGCTGTGCTGGTAGTTAAAATACTGAGATAGTTTGATACTGGTTGGCAAGAAAGGACTCCTACTACCACCCAGATGCCCTGGGATCTCGGTACCGTCCCACAGCAGGGCAGCCTCCTGGACCCTGCTCCTGTTCCTTTCCTAATTGGTTGGAAGCCATGCTGTACCAGTGATAACTGGTTTATTATTTTTTAAAAATTTTTTTAAATTTATTTATGATAGTCACATAGAATGAGAGAGAGAGAGAGGCAGAGACACAGGCAGAGGGAGAAGCAGGCTCCATGCACCGGGAGCCCGACGTGGGATTCGATCCCGGGTCTCCAGGATCGCGCCCTGGGCCAAAGGCAGGCGCCAAACCGCTGCGCCACCCAGGGATCCCTGATAACTGGTTTAAATGGCACTCCCCCGGTGGCCCCTGCTCTCACTCAGGCCTCACGTTCCTGGACCGTCCTACCTAGCTCCAGTCTACGCCCAGCCCCGTCACACCACATCCCTGCCCAGATTCTTCTACGTGTGTCTCTTTTCCTTCTCCTAGCAGCTTGGACTTACTAAGGACAACATGCTAAGCCCATCTTTTATTACCTGGCCTGCTGCCTTTGTACGTCTACTGTCTCACTGATACTGACTGGGGAGCTTTAAAACAAAACAAAAGCTGGTGTTTAGCAGGCCTACCCTTCACTTGAAATAGAATTCTGCAGTGTTGAGAATATATTTGCACTATCTAGTGTGATAGACACTATCCTTCTACATGGCTGTTGGGCACTTATCCACTAGTATAATTAAGGAACTGAATTTTTAGTTTTGTTTAATTAAGCTTAAATGGCCACATGTGGTCAGTGTCTGCCCTTATAAGACAGGGCTAGCCCTAGGTATTCTGCTCTAATGTGTCTAGGGTTAGGCCCAAGAATAGCTGCAGCTGCTGCTGCTGCTTTTTTTTCCTTTTAATAAAAACTCCAGGTGGCTCTAAGGAGCCAGTTGAGGACTTCTTTTTTCTTGAGGAGTGTCTCTCACACCCCCTGGTGGTGGAAGGCATCAGAACTGGTGGGCCAGAGGTGAAAGTCTCAGGATTTCCCAAGCCTCTTAAATACCACAGACCAGAGCCAGGATGAACTGATCTCCCCTTCCTGCACTCTTTTCCCTTTTTCACGGTTTCATTTGTTTTCCCAACCTGCCCCAGTCCAAAAGCCCTCCAGGAGTCTGTTCCAATGGTCCTGTCTTCCTCCACCTGCCCTTCATTCCTGTGCCTTTCCCCTTCTCTTCACCAAAGTTAGGTTTCCCTTTTTCCTACCGTGTTCCAGCTGCACTGATTTCCTAGTAGCTTCTTGACCTTGCCAGTCTCTTCTCTACCTTGGAATTCTCACAACATCATTCTTTGTGCCACCACATTCATACACAGGCCCTTTGCTCAACTTGGGGGATTGAAGCCGTCCAAGTTTTTCTTCATATCTGACAAGGCAGGCAGGCCAGCCACAGAAGTATCCACCCCTGCCCCCTCCCCTACCTCACCCCCACTCCTGCTCCAGCCACTGACAGATTTATGAGAGTCACACGCCTTCATCTTCCCCCAGTACCTGTTGGATCAGACTGATGTGTTGGTGGTCGGTGTCCTTGGCCTCCAGGGGACAGGCAAGTCCATGGTCATGTCATTGTTGTCGGCCAACACTCCTGAGGAGGACCAGAGGTAAGGGGTGTGGAAGGCCAGGAGGAGGGTGGGCCTGGCGATTATAAGTGGTGTTACCAAAGGACTTTCACCTCCCTTAGCCTCAGTGTCTTTGTCAGATGAGGATGATTAGGGACTAGACTAAATCTTTGTGTAGCTCCAAGGTAACAGTCCTTTTCCTCACTCCCTGCATTGCCCCAGGAATGGTACAGAGCCCAGCTTTGATTTAAGCTGACCTCACTCTGAGCCCTGCCACTCACTAGCTAGTTGACTTTGGGCAGGTCATTTTACTTGTCAATATCTCACTTTGTCATCTGTGAAGTGGGTTTTTGAAGGATAATATCAGGAAGGCAATAGTTAACAAGAACCTGACACAGAGCAAATGCAGGATATTGGTTGATAAGGCCTGGTAACTAGAACAGGGAAAGAGACCTGGATGTAGGGCATGGGTTCTAGAGCAGAACAGAAGCTGTTCTGTCCTGCATTCTTGAGGAAGGATGGGGAGGATTGTGAAGAGTAAAATATGAAGTCACAGGAGAGGATTTGGAGGAAGAGGGAGCATAAGAACTAGGAACCAGAACTGAGAGCAGGAGAAAAAAGAAAGGGGCTAGGGAGGATGGAAAATGTACAGTCTGATTAAGGAAGATTCAGACTGAGGAATAAGAAAGGGTAGTAACCACTTGGGATTGTTTAAAAAATACAGGGGTTTGTCTTTTTTATAAAACAATAAATACTACCATGCTACAACCTTGCATTCTGTGGATGGGCACCAGGGCATATCCACAAACCTCCTATCAGTATATGCAGAATTTTACACATACCTGCAGTTACGCTTTTCTTCTAGAGAAAGGATGTGTAGCTTCTACCAGATCTTAGAGGGGCCTGATGGAGACCCAGAATAGGTTAAGAACCACCATTGTGACAATATACATCCACTAGAGACAGAGCTGTGGGGGTTGCCTTTCCTCCCAGGACACCTCCATCTCTTCTTTTCTCTACTCAGTCATAAGTTCACCTTGGCTGTGCTTGGGAACAGTTAACAGCTCTCTCAGATGGCACTCTCCATCTCAGCTTCCCCCAAATAGCAAAATTTCCTCTCAGCTCCAAGTTCAGATTTCCTGAGCTAGAGAGACTCCTGCTGGCCTAGTTAGTCTTTTTGAGCTGTGTCATCCTGTGGCATGGTGGACTTTGATGCCAAATCTAGCCATCAAGTCTCTTGATTAGGTTAAGAATTCATCTGCTTCTCCCCTTCATTCCTATCTCCTGGTCTAAGCCTCTGACATCTTCCCTGGAGGATGCCAAGAACCTGCTTATTGGTTTCCCTGCTTTAGTTCAACTAGTATTTATTGAGTGCTTACGATGTGTCAGGCACCGTTCTGGGCGCTGGGGATATGCAGCCAAACAAAACTAGCAAGAACATTTGTCGTCATGAGGCTTAATTTTAATGGGGGCAGTAGCAAACAAAATAAGTTACTCGACATGTTAGAAGATGATAACCACACGGGAAGGGATTATAGGGAAGCGGTATGGGCTCTAGATGACAGTTCTAAATCGAGTAGTCAGGGAAGGCCTCTCTAAGGGGGACACAGAAAAAGCAGACTTGGCGGAGAGAGAACATTCTAATCAGGGAATGGCAAAAGCCGGCCTCTGCAGCAAGAGCTTGCCTGGTGTATGTGCAGAATGATGTGGAGGCTGTTGAGCTGGAGCAGAGGGAGCAAGACGGGAAGTCCTAGGCGATCAGGTCAGAGAGGATAAGGGAGGCCTGGGGTGTTGGGCCTATAAGTCGTCATCCACTCTTTCCACCCTACAGCCCTCACCGCATAGCACAAGGGGGAGCTTTTCAAAGCCCACATCCAGTCCTGTCACTTCTCTACTTAATTGTCTTTAGGGCTTCTCCAGGCTCATGGGCCAAAGCCCCAGCTCTTTACCATGCCCCACAAAGGCCTATGTACCTGCTTCTTGTTCCCAGGGCCCCTTGTTCTCTGCCTTTACCACATTGGTCTTTGTTGCCTCATACACACCACCTGCCTTCTGCGTGGGATAGTCTTCCATCCTGCATCCCCCCTGCACTTCCCTCTGTAACTTAATTAAATTTGCTTAATTAACTCTCTTTCTCTCTCCCTCAGTGTGGTCATTTGCCTCTTTGATGGCATGCCTTCCTGGCTCTACTATCTGAATTATCCCCACTCAGAGTGCTACGCATCTCCTCTTTCTGCCACTTGAAGTTAACTGATAGCTGTTAATTTGTAAGGTAGACCAGAAGGTAGACCTTCTCTCCATGGAAGCAAGACTGTCCTTACTGCCACATCCTGGTATCTGGTACATAGGAGGCCTTCTGTACAGTGTTAAGCGGGAGGATATTTGCTCTGTGTCAGACAGCATGCTAAGCATTTCAGGGAGGTGGGGGTTACCTTTTGAGAAGTAGGTACTCTTACCCTGATTTTGCAGCTAGAAAGAGGAAATAATCTCTTTGTCCAAGCCACAGAATGTGACCAAGTTGAGCTCAGTGGTTAAGGCAAGGCTCAGCTCTGCCTGCTTTGCTCTCATCTCCCTATCCAGCACAGATAGAATTGAGGAAGACTCTTCTCACAGGAAAAGAACTGGGAACTGAGTTCTACAACCAAACAGCCTCTCACTCTGGGGGCGGAGAGAACTCAGTGTTGTATCTCCAATGCCTGGCCTGTGGCAAGTGCACTTGGTAATTAATAGCTGACAGTTACACATCACTGCATATCAGGCAAGTTCCTAAGGGCATTACATATAGTAGCCTCATAGTAACCCTAAAAGTTTTGAGACTGTTGTTATCCCCATTTACAGATAAGGCAACAGAAGAGAAAGATTAAGGACTTGCCCAAATCCACATAGCCAGGAAGAGGCAGAGCTGCTATTTTAATCCCAGCAGTCTAGCAAAACCCCTACTCTTAAATACCTCAGGTTGCTGACTTCATTAAGTGAGTTAACAAACCTACTTATGAGTAGGGGTAAAGTTATATGGAATAAAATGTAAGCCCCCAGACAGCAGGGGCCACAGATGGAAGGCTTTGTGGGCAGGAGGGAATCATGTCCCACATGCTCCTTTCACAGGGTCATACTCCGAAGGTGTCGGAGGCTGAGAGCCAGACCTCTAACGTACTCCACCTGCTCCTCTCCACAGGGCATATGTTTTCCGGGCCCAGAGTGCCGAAATGAAGGAACGAGGGGGCAACCAGACCAGTGGCATTGACTTCTTTATTACCCAAGAGCGGATTGTTTTCCTGGACACACAGGTGCCAACCTCCACGTGCCCCACCCTACTGCATGCCACACTCAGCTCCACCCCTGGGTATTTATAAGCCAGAATCCTTCTTGGATTCCATGTGGTTTTAGCCAAGTTGTGTCTTTTCTTGGCCTTTAGTCTCTTATCAAATTTTGCCTCCCTCCCCTCCCATCCATTCTGTACATAGTAGCCTAAAGAATCTTCTAGCAGCGTGGTCAAATGTGTGGGCCCTGGAGTCAGTCTGTGTATGTCCAGATTCTGCCTTTAATTCTTAACAGTTGGGTGACTTGAAGCAAATTTTTTTTACCCTCCCAGACCTCAGTTTGTCTATAAATGGGGACAGTAATTGTTTCACAGGATCATTGCAAGGATTCAGTACAACATTCCAGACCAAGTGCTTAGCATAAGACCTGGCACGTATTTAATGTTCGGGCCCATCACTATCATTAGAACTGACCCGTCATGTATTTGGCAGTTTTCCTCGTGTTCTCCCTTGCCCTCAGGCAGAGTCCCTATTCCTTAGTGTGGCGTTCAAGGCTTATAGGGCTTGCCTCCTTCAGACTCTAGTCTCCCCTTTCTTTTTTTTTTTTTTTTTTTCTAGTCTCCCCTTTCTGATGTAGCTCTAGCTCCACCACACACACCATAAGGCCTCACCATGATCTCTCTTCCCTCTGGGCTGTCCTCATCCTGTTCCCTTTATCTGAAACTGCCTATTTCTCATTTTTCTTTAGTGGGAAAAATATTATTGCCTACCTGCAGGGTTTTGTAAGGCTTCAGGGCTTCACAAGTAAAGTCCTAATGACAGTACCTGACAAGAAGTACATACTTCATACTCTTAGCTGGCAGTACCGTGATCACAAGAACACTGTCCCCTTGCCTTGTTGCCTGGCTAATGCCCAGAAGACTCCGCTGGGGTATTGCCTTCTCCCAGAAGTCTTCCCCTCAGAGTACCCACCAGTGCCATGTGCACCTTCCATCACAGCACTGATTTATCACAGTCTGCTTTTTGTGTACTGCTCCCACTCCTGATCTACCCGGAGCTCTTCCAGGAGGAACACTGTTGATCGGGGCCTGGCCCATAGTTGGTACCCACTGAATGTTGATGGAACAAAGTTCTAGTCACCATAGGCATTGATAGCACAGAGAGTGGGAAACCTACAAATGTGGTGTGAGATCTGTGAGCCAGGCCTATGCAGGGGCCACCGGGACCTAGAAACAAACTAAACTGCTGTGATCTGGCTCCAAGACCCACATGGAGCAGAATGGGAGCTAAAACAAGACAGAATAGAGCATGGAGTGCTGGGAGTTTTAGAAGGCCAGCAGTTGGAAAAGCCTCTTACTTAAAGAATTCCACTCACTGCACCAAGAAGTCAATAAGACTGCCAAGCCGATTTAACTCTTACGGTTTTTAAATGGAATGTTCCTTTGAGAAAAGGTGATGAACTCACCACTGATTTTTTTTTTTTACACCCACTGATGCAATTTTTAAATCTTCACCAGTTTTCACACTATTCATTGTTTTTTGACCAAAGTAATTATCATAGCAAAGTTTTGAAAGCATTTGAAACAACTAAGAGAAGAAAAGGCTCTTGAAGGGACATGACTCATTCAAGTCAATATTACATTTATTAGCACTAGAAGAGTTCCCTTTGAGCATGAGGCACTTGAGAGTGGTGATTTTGTAAAAGAACTGGCGGAAGTGTATCTGCTTTGAAACATTGTTCTCTCACCTCCTCTCACTGACTAGTACTCACTTATGAGAAACCACCCATGTTTCTGACCTTATTTAGTCCTGAGAGAGGTGAGGTATTTGCCTTCAACGTGTGCAACTTAGGTGGCTGTGACCTTTAGGGTCCTGGCCACCAGTCCCTTTCCTGACACCCTCTCTTCCTTGCAGCCCATCCTGAGCCCCTCCATCTTGGACCACCTTATCAATAATGACCGTAAGCTGCCTCCAGAGTACAACCTGCCCCACACCTATGTTGAGATGCAGGTGAGGGGGGCCAAACCAGTCCTTGGGGAGAAGTCTTACCCTTCCCCTCAAGATTTGTGACAGAGAGCTGGATGTGGGTTGACCTAGTTTCTGCTTCATGAAGAGCTTTGGGTGCCCCAAGAGCTGTAGGAAAGAACAGTACTGAGAGTCCTGTCTGGCTGTGTTCCTTGGAAAAGGCATTTCCTGCCCCCTCCCCCTCCAGCCTCATTATCTGCCTGTGTAAGGTGGGGTTAATCATTCCTACTTTGCCTAACTCAGGGATGGCCATAAAGGAAGTGCCAGGATAGTCTGGGCACACACAGGGTACTTAGAGGCTCTGAGGCCCTTGCCCTACTGCCCCCTCAGCTAAGTGCTGGGAACAGGGACCCCAGTCTGGGCAGAAGGGACCTTCAACTCTCTTGTCCCTTCCTGCCCATTTGCAGTCACTCCAGATTGCTGCTTTCCTCTTCACGGTCTGCCATGTGGTGATCGTTGTCCAGGACTGGTTCACAGACCTCAGTTTATACAGGTGAGGAGCAAGTGGGGAGGGGGAGCCAGGCAAGAGATGGGGACCAGAGACTCAGCCACTTGCCCACGTCTCTACGTTCCACATAGCAGCCACAGGGACCTCTTTAAAATGTGAGTTGGAGTGGATCACTACCACCCAGTATATATACACACACTTCTAGCTCTCCACTGACTTTATGCATCACTCAGAATAAAATTCACAGTCTTCCTACATACAAGATCCCCTACACGGGACAGTCCCAGTCACCTCACTGACCTTCTCTTCTACCACTTTCCCTCACTCCTTCCATTAAAGGCCTGGTGACCTCATGGCTATTTCTCATGCATCTTATGATCTCTGCACTCTATCCCTCCCTCAGCTGGAAAGAGAGGTCTTCCTGCAGACCTCAGACACCCTCCCTCATGTCTTGTGGACCACCTCAGGCTGTTCCTTATCTTACAACGTACCGCCCCCCTTTCTTCCCTGCCTCTTCTCTGCTGTGTTTTCCTTCATTGCATTTATCACTCCCTGACAAGACATCACAGATCTCTTTACCATCTGTCTCCCCCAGTAGAATGTAAGCCCCAGGAGGACAGAGTCCCGAGTGCCTCACACAGTGCCTGGCACAAGGTAGATAATACACATTTGTTGAGTGAGTAGCATAATCGGGAACTGGCTTATCCATCTTAGCCATCTCCTCCAGGCATGTGTACCATTCTGTTGGTACCCTGGCAGGTAGGCAAAGGGAAGGAGTCCTGCCCGAAGCAGCTGGAGGTTCTAGAAATGCGCCCTGGAAAGGACTGGCTCAGAACATGAGGCACAAGGGTTCCTCTTGCCCTCGGGGTCAGTGTGGAGGCCAGCTGCCTTGGGCATAGAACTCAGACAAAAGGAAGGAACAGGAGCTCATGGGGAGGGGAGAGCTGAGCCAAGGGAAGCAGATATCTCCAAAGTGAGGCAGCCCTGGGTTTGAACCCTAGCTCTTATTAGGCGAGTGTCTTCTTTTTCCTTAGCTCCTCATAGATCATTTTATGCAGATTAAATGAGTTAAAGAATTCAAAGCATTCAGCACAGTACCTGATACCTAGTTAGCAATTAATAAATGGAAGCTTAATGTTTATTTTAGGAATCCTGGGGGTGGTGGTGAACTGTGGGTCTGGCCAACAGTAAAAATGAGCTTCTGGGAGAGCCAGCTGTCATGACCAGATCTAAGGGTCTTATTTCTGAGACAGCCACCGCACCACCACCTCCACTATTGTGTATTTGAATTCATTCACATGACAAATATATTGAACATTTACAAATGCCATTTAGTGTTCTGGGTACTGGAACACAAGTGTGAAAAAAACAGACTGCCCTGTGGAGTTTACATTCTGATTGGGGTATAGACACGGGCTAGCACATGGCACAACCTAGCCGTGGGCTTCATAGCAGGTGAACTCCTTGAAACTGTGGATGACATACAGTTTGTGTCTGTATGAGGAGAATATCTATAATGCTTAATTGGGTCCCATTATCCCCTACTTCAGATAGCAGATTTATTCTATTTACATATTTGGAAAACTTATTTTAAAATAGCATAAATCGAATAGCATAAAATAGCATAAGTCGAAATTTAGGTCCACACAGAAACCTGCACATGGATGTTTATAAAGCATCTTCTGACTCTTGATTTCGGCTCAGGTTGTGATCTCTGGGTTGTGGGATCAAGCCCTGCATCAGGCTCTGTGCTGATTGTGGGACACCCCCCCCCCCCTTCTGCATGCTCACATACACATTCTCTCTGTCTCTGTCATCTTTCTCTCTCTCTAACAAATAAAACAGCGTTATTCATAATTTACAAAACTAGGAAGCAATCAAGATACCTTTTAGTAGGTAAATTCATAAACTGTGGTACATTTAGACACTGGAATATTATATCAATCCATGAAAAGGCATGGAGGAAGTACATATTCTTAAGTGCATATTACTAACTAAAAGAAGCCAGTCTGAAAGGGCTACTGTACCATTCTGACTATATGACATTCTGGAAAAGGCAAAACTGTGGAGACAGTAAAAAGATTAGGGATTAGGAGGGGAGAGAGGAGTGAGTGGATAGAGCACAGAGGATTTTTAGGGTAGTGAAACTATTCATTGTAAAACCCTGTGGTGGATACATGATGCTTTTGCCAAAACTCATAGAATATACAACATCAAGAGGGAACCTTAAGTAAACCACAGACTTTAGGTGATAATGATGTGTCATAGGTTGGTTGGAATGTTGATGGTAGGGGACGCTATGTGTGGGGGGGGTGGGCAGGGCATCTGGAAATCCCTGTACTTTCCACTCAGTTTTGGTGTGATCTTACAAATGCTTTTAAAAAGTGAAGTGGTTTTTTTTTTTAATAGCATAAACTCATTAAAAGGCACGTACAGTTGGCATGGGTCCACAGATTGGTGTCTGAGAGAGTTGTCTCTGAATTCCCTAAAATTATGTGAGAAATAGATATAGATGCAGCATTTATCTGAGTGTGGTTGTCGCTTTCATCAGACCCACAAAAGGAGCCCTGACCCCAGGCTGTGGGATAGGGGGAGCCAGTGCCAGAGCACCAACCCTTGGCCCCAAACCCCAGGTTCCTCCAGACAGCAGAGATGGTGAAGCCCTCCACCCCATCCCCCAGCCATGAGTCCAGCAGCTCCTCAGGCTCCGATGAAGGCACAGAGTACTACCCCCACCTGGGTGAGAGACTTTCTGGGGGCTGGAGGGGTGGGCAGGGGAGGAATGAGGGGCGAAAATCAGGAGCACTGGGGAGGTGGAGAGCTGGGAGGAAGAAAGAGCAAATAATAGCTGCTCCTTCCTCAAAGGTTCCCACATGGCCACCAAGGGCATGTACAAGGGTCTGGGTCTGGCTCCTTGATCAAAATGAGCACTTTTTGCAGACGGGACCCACATGTGCCCAATTCTCTAGCCCTGGTGTCTCCACAGATTTCCAGAGTGAGTGTGGAAGTAACCCAAGTGACCCCAGGTGCCCTGCTCTTTCCCTCTTTCAGCTGCACACATGCCAATCCTTTGCCAGTTCTGTCCTTGCTCAGCTATGCTCTACCTACGTCCTGTTTTCAACAAAGATCTGTCTAGTTCACTTAATGCTACCCTAGGCGGGGTCTCTTCTATTTCCTCTGTCTCACCAGGCCCCTGGGGACCTTCCTGTCATACTCCTGATCCTATGGCTATCCTTCTCTTCTGTCTTTTCCGTCTAGACTGGGGGCTCTGTGGGGGTGGGAGCCAGTTGTGACTCATATCTAGGTCCCCAGCATCACCCTGCGCAGGGCCTGGTGCTAAAGCAAAGTGACATGTCATGTAAATATTTACAAGTGCTCTGAACCCAGGGATGATGGCCGATCTTTGGCATGAGAAGGGAAGTCCACATAGCCAAATCCCAGCGGCCTCACGGGACCACATCTCTCCACCCCTCAGTCTTCCTGCAGAACAAAGCTCGCCGAGAGGACTTCTGTCCTCGAAAGCTGCGACAGATGCACCTGATGATTGACCAGCTCATGGCTCATTCCCACTTGCGTTACAAGGGTGAGGGTCCCTGAACCACCCCCCAAACTGGCCAACAGTCTCTCGATTCCTGATCTGGTCCCTTGGCCCTGATGTCTACACTGGCCTCCTGACCCAAGTTAGACAATCATCAGACCTGTGCCTCCCCTGCCCCTCAGCATAGGACCTGCAGGCTGATGGGTTCTCTCCTCCAGGTACTCTGTCCATGTTACAGTGTAATGTCTTCCCCGGGCTCCCACCGGACTTCCTGGACTCTGAGGTCAACTTGTTCCTCGTGCCCTTCATGGACAGCGAGGCAGAGAGTGAAAACCCACCAAGAGCAGGTATGGTTCTTCCTCAGGGGAGTCTGGTCTGGGACGATAGGGACCCACACTGGTCCCTAAGATGCTTGGACCCTTTCTTAGGAGCATGTTTCCAAGTTGTGGAAGTACGGGAAGAGCTGGGCTGGGTCTGAATGTGGAGGTACTCCTGGTATTCCAGCCCAGGATTCTAGATAGCTAGGAGAAGGGAAAGGCCCTCCCTGCCAGGCTGACCTCCTTATCCCCCCACCTTAACTGTCCAGGACCCGGTTCCAGCCCTCTCTTCTCCCTGCTCCCTGGGTACCGCGGCCACCCCAGTTTCCAGTCCTTGGTGAGCAAGCTCCGGAGTCAAGTGATGTCAATGGCCCGGCCACAGCTGTCACACACGATCCTCACGGAGAAGAACTGGTAAGAGCTCTTGGCAGAGGGGTCAGTGTGAGGGCCCCACCCTGGTGCAGACAAGAGGAAGTTCTCAGTGGTCTCGCCACATCTCTATTTCCTTTTCTGAAACGGTGGTAATTGCTTCCATGCCAGGCAGTGTGCTGTTTCATGTGATCTTGAGTCCTCCCCAGTAGCCAGTGGGGTTTAAGTCCTGTTACCAGTTTTACTAGTGGGGAAATCTAGACTAAGAGAAAGGAAATGTCATGTAGCACCATCACACACCTGTGGCTAGGTGTCATTTGATGGTGAGTAGTAGGACCAGTGAGCCCAGTCAAGCTCGAGGAGGGTTTATTCTGAGGCCCTGAGTGCAAGCCTTGAGGCCCTGGAATGCCCCCACAGCAGCTGCATTCTCCAGCTCTCTCTGGATGGCACAGCTTCACTGTCCCCCCTCCACCATCCCTCCTTCGCTGGCCACTGGCTTTCTCCGCCCTGCTGTCACAGAGCCCTGAACCTCCCCAGCCCCAACTTCACATGACTCTCTGTGTCTGGAGCCCACAACACATCTGCCAGATCCAGGTCTGTACCATCTAATTTCTAGAAGACACAAATTTGAGAGGGAAATAGCTTCACCTGGTGCAGCCTTTAGCGTGGCTCCCCTGGGCCTGCAGTCAGCTGTGGCCAGAAAGGGCTGGGAGCTCTCTTCCTTTCACTGTCTACAGCAGAGGCCAAGGCAGGCAAGGGTCATTACAAGACCCTGGAGGGAGAGAGAGGGAGAACCCCAATCCACAAAGGCCAACACTGAGTGTGGAAAGAAGTTTGGTCTCAGAGTTGGGGCTTTGAGGCCTTTGTCCCAGACCAGGCACCCTCAGCTTTGCTCACCCTGGGTGAGGTCTGAGAACCCAGGCCACTCCCGTCAGCATGGCCATCTTCCCTGCTTCTTGACCGAGGAAGCTCTTGTCTCAGGTCATATGGCTCGTACACAGGACCTGTTTTCCCTCCTGGCCAGGGTCAGCATGAGGCTGGTGGGCCACAGCCAGGCAACTGACTGTGGACCTCCTCCCACAGGTTCCACTATGCTGCCCGGATCTGGGATGGCGTGAAAAAGTCCTCTGCCCTGGCAGAGTACAGCCGCCTGCTGGCCTGAGGCCGAGGGAAGGAACGTCATGCAGAGAACCCCCTTCTGGGTCCCCGTGAATGGTTAGGGAGCATCACGTGTCCTACTCCCGTGCTGGGGTGGAGCGTGGCAGCAGGCCTGATGGATGAGGGACCGCGACGTTCTCGCCCAGAGACATGAGGTGTCCAGGGCCAGGCCCCCCACCCTCAATGGAGTATTGTTCCGGGGGCAACTTTGAAATCCCACCCCCACCCTGGGGTAGGGTGGCCCATCCTCAGTTCCCCACAGGGACAGGCAGTGGGAGTCGTCTGGATGGTCACCAGGAATCCCAGGTTCCATCTCGACCTCCCTCTGCAGGGACAGGAGCAACAGGTCCCTCCTCCCTGACTCTAAGCCTGATCCCGTAAGGTGCGGCAGGGTCTGGGGAGCTCTTTGTTGGGGCAGATCTGGTGGTTTGAATAAAAACAGTCATGCAAGCCTGTTCTGGTGCTTTTCTTCCGCTCTCCCCAGCATGTTATCCTGGGGAGCAGGGCACATTTGGGACACAGCCACTGTAGGTCATAGAGATGTCAAGAGCAGATGAAGACAGTCTCTGCTAAGGAGGAAGCCCCTAGAAGGGAGTATTCTGTTTCTGGGGTGACATTAAGCCTCCCATCTCTGTGTTACTGATAGGAAAACACAGTCCCTTCCTTTGGCTAAATGTGCAGTTACTACCCTCGTGTCCTCTGCTTTCAGCTGAAGACAGTTTCTGCCTTTGGTGAAATGCCTAGCTAAATACAATGCCTAATTCAATACGTGGTTAAAAAGAGCATACCCTAGTTCAATATAGTCCTTCCCCTGATTGAAACAGCTTCTGCCCTTATGCAGGTATTCATATATTACCCTTATGTACAGTGCCTACTGTTGGTTAAATATGTTGGCTTCCTTCCCCCCCATAGACCTCATCAGTTCTTGCTTAAAAGTAGTCTCTACCCTTAAATCCAGAACCTACTCTCAAATACACCATACACTTCAGTATGGGACTTACCCTCATCTCAGTTTAAATACGCTACATCTTAGCTTAATGTTTCCCAAAGCGTGCCTCCAAATGAATCTGGCCACCCCACCCATCATTCCCAGCTAGTCCTGACTTTCCAATCCTGCCACTCCACCCTTTGCTAACACAGTTGGTTCCTGTCACCAGCCGAGTCTGTCTGCCTACTACCCCGTTCCCCCTTGGTCTCCCTGCCTTCCTCCTGCCCTGGCGCATATTTTACAGCCCTCTCGCGTCCTTGTCATGAGAATCCTGAGTGTGGTGAAGAAAACACTCAGCCCAGGAGTTGGATCTGCACGGATCTCTAAAAAAGCAAAGGGGTGAGGTTTGGGAGGCATGAGACCCAGGGCAGGCTCTGGCCCTACCATTTGCTGGCTGAGAAGACCTTGGGCAAGAACCTCCCCTAATGATCCTCAAGGCCCTTCAGAGCTGTGACATTCAGTGCCCTCTTAGGGAAATGCTTCTACACCTTTTGCCCCCTGCACACCTTCTAAAGTGCCCTTTCTAGGGGCACCTGGGTGGCTCAGTGGTTGAGTGTCTGCCTTCAGCTCGGGTCGTGATCGTAGAGTCCTGGGATCAGGTCCCATATTAGGTTCCCCTCAGGGAGGCTGCTTCTCACTCTGCCTGTGTCTCTGCCTCTCTCTCTCATGAGTAAATAAATCTTTTAAAAAATAGAGTGCCTTCTCTAGCTAGACAACTGAGTTCCTCTCCTTACCTTGTTGAAATCCACCTGCCCCATGCCCCATCCCATCCCTCCCCATCCCTGGGGAACTGTTGGTTGATGTGAGGGTTCAGAGCAGGAAAGGTGGGGCAGTGGCCAGCAAGGGCATAGATCCAGGACCCAAAAGCACAGACACAGCACACGGGGCTCAGTCCAGGAGAGTTAGAGCTTGCATTTCTTTCCATCCCCCAACACCACACAGCCTGGGGACAGATAGAACCTATAGCCTCCCAGCCCTTCACTGCCACTTCCAGCTGGCCTAGGGTCAGGGCTGGGATTGTTGATTGGATTTATCTGGGATCTTGTGGTTGGGCTTCTCGAGGAAGGCCTAAGTCAGCACTTTCTGGGCATCCTTGATCACCTTGTCCTGAGACGTGCGGAGCATCTGGTAGATGGTAGCAAAGGAGATGCCACAGGTGACCAAGGTGCCTAGGACAGGCATGTTGAGGAGCTCCTGTGTGAATGCAGAGGCATCCCTGGAGGCCTGGCCCAGTAGTTTGACCACTAGCGCCTCAGTGACTTTGGTCTTCAGGCCCTGTACTGCCTCCAGGATCTTGTGCCAGGGCTGGCCTGTCTGCTCCGCCAGCATTATGAGGGAGTCCTTGTCTAAGCCGAAACTGTGGCAGTAGCCTTCCAGGGAGTTGATGAGCATGCACGGGTCACACACCACATCCTGCACAACCGGCACAGGGCTTGGGTTGACACCGCAGGCCACAGTGGCCACCAGCCAGAGGTGCTGCTGTAGCGAGGCTGCCTTCTGCTCTAGGATGGGCTTCGAGATGTTGGGCATGGCCAGCAGAAACGCATGCCGCTTATGGCTGTTGAGTTCCTTCACCATCAACTCCTCCAGCAGGTCGAAATCGTACTTGCCCAGCTCAAACATGGAAAGCCGGAAGACTGGGGGCCTTCACGCCCCCCACTGCAGGAGACAAGAGCACCACTGGGTTTTGGCACCGGAGCAGGCCACCGTGTTCTGACAGCTGCTGAGGCACGAGCATTGCCAGGACGGCACAGCACGACATTGCTCTAGAGTGTTGGCCCTGGAACTGGGCTGCCTGAGTTCAGATCCCAGCCTTGCTACCTACCACCCGTGTGTGTAGCCTTGGGCAAGTTACCAAATCAAATAAGGGGATCATTGTACCTACCTCCTAGGGATACTGTGGTAGTGAAGCGAGTGTGTGAAAATGGTGCCTCTGGTAATCCCTTAATAAATGTTAGCTGCCCTCAGCCACAGCTGCCAGCATCCCGTAGGCATGTGGCATTTGCACTGCTCTAACTTGGCAAATACACAAGCCAGCACATGTCCCATTTCCTTATGCAGGTAATGGGTCTCTGTCACCTGTGACCGAGCAGTGCCAAGTCTCAGGAAATGAATGGCAGCTGTGAGCATTATTTCACTGCAGGGCTGAGTTCAGTCACGCAGTGTGACCTTGGACGACCCCTTCCCCACTGTGGGCCTTAGCTGGAAGAGGAAGGGGAAGGGGCGGGCCATCCCTCCAGAATCCACCGCCCCCAATGCTCCCACCCGCTTCCCTAAGCTCACCCTCCAGCCATTGCCAACAGTCCTCCCGGGTCTGGCTGAGTGCTCTTTCCTCTGAAAAGGTGCTGGGGCGCCGGCTGCATGAGGCCACAATGTCCACGTCCACCTTGGAGCGGATGAAGTAGAAGCACTTGCCCTGCTGCAGGATCTCACAGGCTAGCTGGGTACGGTGGGCAGTGAAGCTCTCCAAGGTGATGAGGAGGAGGAAGTTGTAACGGTCCAGCAGCACCTGCTGGAGGTATTTTTTGGCCTGGAAGGTGGGCGTGTCAATGCCCGGCAGGTCCCAGATGACGACGTTGGGGTACTTAGGGTGTGCATATGGTGTGGGGTCCACCGACATTTCCACCACGCCTGTGTAGGCCAATCTGGGGTCCTCGTCTCCCAGCCCCCGATGGCATTGACAAAGGTTGACTTGCCTGAGCCTGTGCCCCCAGTAATGCCAATGTCCAGCCTGGCATTCTCCAGCAAGTGAAGTGTGGCCTGCAACTTGGTGGCTACTGTTGGCAGGTCTCCCGCCTCAAAGGCTCCCTTCAGAGCACTGGTGTCCCTCCATAGCTCCAGTATCTTGGACCGGGTGAAGTTTGACTGGAAAACTCTGCTCGCCATGGGCTACCTGAGGTACAGGCTTCTGTCTTCAGAATGGATGACCTTCAACAGGACGGGTAAGAGTATTTTCCATCTCTCTCTACATCCCTCATCATGTCTCAGGTATTTGAGGCATCACCAGCAATCGTACTGAGAGTGCAACCATATGCCAGGCCTGGTGCTAAATACTTTAGTTCAGTTCGCATTTATTCATCACTGCCAGGTTCTCCTCCTGGAGTAGCTCATAAAATCCTCATAACAGCCGGAAGAGGAGATCCCCTTACTATCTGCGTTTGGCGCTTGGAGGAAAAATAATTTGCCCAAGGCCTCCAGCTAGTGCCTGGAGTATTGGGAATAGGAATTGGGTCTTGTGATCCTAGAGTTCAAATTTTTATAAGATTTTTTAAAAATTATTTTTAGTTTTTTTTAAGTACTTTCTACATCCAACATAGGGCTGGAACTCACAACTCTGAGATCAAGAGTTGCAGGCTCCATGAACCAAGCCAGCCAGGGGCCCCTAGAATTAAAATTCCTAAATAACTTTTTGTGGCATTTCCCGTGCACCAGGCACTGTGATCAACAATGTAGGGCAGTAATTAAGAGCTAGAACCATCATCATCACTGAAGTATAAACAAGTTTATACTTGTTTACTCAGGGCCAGCCACTGTTCTAAACTCATGCATAATTTCATTAAGTCCCCATTGTACAGAATAGGAAACCAAGGCTCAGGGAGTAAGCCTCACTAAATGTCTTCTAGGCTGCACCAGAGCCAGGACATGGGCCAGCTCCCTCTGATCCTTTTGCCAGACAACCTCCCCATACCATCTTTGTACCGTTGACCACCCGCTGTGTGCCAGGACCTCTTTGGGTGCTACAGTTCCAACACCAGCAAGAAACTCGATGGAATAGGCCTGGTGCATCTGTGAAGACACTGCCCCCACGACTGCTGGTTTCAGGGACCCACATCTGCTCAGGACCCACAGTGTACACCTCCATGAGCCCCGCCCTGCTCTGAGCCTCTGAGTCCTCCTTGGTGTTATGGACTAGGGTACCAGCACGACTCCAACTAGTCCTAGCCATACCAGGGACATGGGTGACATTGTGTGGGTCATGTCCCCTCTGCAGCCTTTAGTTCCCCCTTCTGCTTCCTCACCTGTGAAATGGAGAGATGACTCCCCAAGTTACTCCAGCTCTGTTTTCAGAAGACTCAGGGTCTTATTGTTGACAAGGTTCAAAGGCCAGCTTGAGGTGGTCTTGGAGCATCAGACTGAGCTTGTGGGTTGCCATGGAAGGGTTTTCAACAGGGAAGGGAGAGGTGCACAGTGGGCATTGAGCCCCCAGTGGACTTTGGGGAATGACACCAGAGCCTGGTAGATGAGGCAAGGAGCAGGGGCAGGAGCTGCTGGAGAGGGTGAGGCCTGCCCTAGAACAGGGGCTGAGTGGGTGGAGATGGGGGATGAGGAAGGGACAGATGGAGGCAGAAAAGACAGGACAGGGCAATCAGTGGATCTTAACCTTAGGCACAGTGTAGGGAGAGTATTGCTATTCATGCCTGACCTTCCCATCCCAGCCCCTCGGGGCCCACGAGTCCTGTGTTTAAGACAATGTCTGAGGGTTCACAGGGCTAGGGATGTGAACTGTTTTTTTGAGAAAAGATTTGGAGTGGACCATCTGTCCTCATATCTGGGGGTCTGGGATTTCCCTACCCTTATTCCCCACCAGCTCTTCGGTGCAAAAAGATCCAAAAGCAGTCCTGGCAGATCCAATGGAAAGGCATTCCAGGAAGAGAAGAATCCCTTTGCAAAGTACAGAGCTCTTCAGCAAAGAGAACTGGCACCCCCTGTAATTGGCCAGGTGAAAGCGGCCCTTCTTAGTCTGGAACTGGTTCACAGGTTCAAGGTAATTTGAGGCCTTCAAATGAGGCTAGAACCATCACCAGATCTGGGAATCTCCGTAGGCAGTATTTGTGAGCAACTAGGGGTGAGGCCACCTCCCCTGCACTGGAGTCCCTGTTTTACCACCAGCCTTGTACACAGCCTCCAGAGCCTTCCTGTGAACTGGAAACTTGCCTTTCTCCGCACCTAAATCTGACCCTTCCCTGACCTTATCCAAGCCCCCAGAAGCCCTAGGGGCAGCCTGTCCTGTCCAAAGCCCCTACTCAGGTACTTTTTTCAACTTTTAGACACATGTGATCCTTGATTTGGCATGTGAGGTCAGGCTTTGGCGGGTATGAGGATGTCAGGTTCACTTTTGCATTCCCACCGAAGAGCCAAGGACAGAGCAATAGGGAGTACCTCGGGATTCGGTTTTGCAGGGACACCTGGGCAGATGCAGATCCCCTCACCCCGTGTTGTTCACGCCCAGCAATTCCTACAGCCACATGGAACTTTCAGGAATCCCCCTGCCATCACCATCTCTCAGCCCCATGCCTTTAGCACAACCCCACCATTCCTGCACCCACACGGCCATGCGGAGACAGCAGGTAACCCCAGTCAGCAGACTGCTTACAACCTCTGACCCACAACATCAAAATCCAGGACACTTACCAACACTCCTCCCAATCACAGGCACACCAGAAATCTCATTACCACACACCTTCCCACACACACACCTGCAAGCTCTCCAAAACAACTTGTTCGAGGTGGCAGGATTCGCCCTCTGACCCTCTCTCCTTTGATACAGAGAGAAAGAGCCCACCAGCCCTCTTGCCACCCCATTCTCCATGCAGAGGCCAGCCCAAGGCCATGGGGCCTCCCCTCCCCTGCCACCCACACTGACCATCACTCGTGCAGCAGCGGGGCTGGTCCGGGATGACCAACACTCACTGTGGCAGGGGGGCTGGTCCCCCACCCTGTTTAACCAGGTTGCTAGGTACCATTGTGCCAGTCCTGGGCACTGATTGGCTGCCCCTCCCTTTCTAGAGGAAGTCTTTGAGACCCTGGGCTTCTCAGAAACAGACAGGAGATGGCATAGCCAGCCCTGAACTGCACCAAGTTACCCGCACAGGTTGACAGTGGGATCCTATCTTGGATCCGGGCCTGGCTATCCTAATGCCCCACAAATCTCCCTTGACTACCAGGGGGCCAGGGAGAGAGATCCCACCAAGGGGCCCTTGGTGCACCATCCATACCTCGAAGCTCTCCCCACCCAGATCAAGTCCCATCCGGGTTCAGTGTGTCCCCTCTTCAGCCCCTCCACACCTCCCCACCACAACCCCCACCAACCCTGCCAAGACAGCAAGCTCTGGTGCCCTCAGCACGCAGCACACATTTTCAATACACTGGCTTGGTTTAGTTGGTTTTGCTAAGGCTCGGTTTGTGGGTGAGGCAGGGGGTGGGGCTGCACGGTCACTTCTCTTCTGACAAGTCACGCTTCTTCCAGCTGTCGAGAATATACTTGAGGAGGAGGCCAAGCTTCCGGCGGGCCGAGAGCGGTGCTTCCTCACAGCCTCCCTCCCCAGATCCCCGCTTTTCCACACCATTGTCACCGGCTGCCTCCAGGCTGACCTCAGACTGGGGCTCGTCCTCCTCCAGGGCCTTGATGCGGACCCGCTGGGCATCTTCGGCCATTTCATTGAGGCAGCCCTGGAGCATGGTATAGACGGTGCCAAAGCTGATGCCACCGGCCACCAGCGTGCCAAACACAGGGATCCCCTTCTCAAAGGCACGGGCCACCCGCATGGCACCATCAGATGACTGTGAGTAGAGCCGCAGGACGGTTTCCGGCGAGACCTCATTGGCCAGCGGGGATCGGATGACGGAGCGCAGGTCCCCTGCCTGCTTGCCCACCTGCTCAGCCAGCTTGGCCAGCGAGTCGTCATCCAGGCCGAAGCTGCGGTGGTAGCCACGCAGCGAGCGGATGAGCAGAGCGTCGTCGTAGGCGGCCGCCAGCCCTGGCACGGGCAGGGCCTGGATGACGCCTGACACCAGGGCTGTCTTGAGCACTTGCTCCTGGAGCATGTCCTTCTTCTTCTGCAGGGCCTCCAGCGAGATATCGGGCAGTGAAAGCAGGCCAGCGTGGCGCCGGTGGGCAGGCAGGTCGTGCTCCCAGGTGGACATGAGCAGCGGAAAGTCGTAGCGGGCCGGCGAGAGGTTGGACACGAGGAAGATGCGCGGGTCGGTCATGCCGGCCACCCGCAGCCGCTCGGCGCAGTGGTCACGGATCTCCTGCAGGACGGCCGCCTCACTGAAGCCTGAGGGCCGCTGGGTACGGGTGGCCGCCAGGTCCTCGTCCACCTTGGTGCGCACAAAGTAGAACTTCTTGCCCTGCCGCAGGATCTCCGAGGCCAGGCGGGTCTCCACAGCCCCGCAGCGGCGGGGAGAGACCAGCAGGAAGAAGTCATAGCGGCCGAAGTCCACCTGCTTCAGGTACTTGTCAGCTGGACAGCCCGGAGAGCCAGCCCCCGGCAGATCCCACAGGGTCACATCTGGAAACTGTGGGTGTGGGTAGGGCGAGGGCTGCATTGTGGTCTCCACGACGCCGGTGAGGGCCGCGCCGGGGTCCTCCGCCCCCACACCACGGAGGGCGTTGATGAGGGAGGACTTGCCAGCACCCGACTCGCCTGTGACGCCCACCTCCAGGCGGATGCTCTGGGAGGAGGCCAGCAGCTCCTGGAGGCGGGAGGCCGCCTGGGGGATGTCGCCCGACTCAAAGGCGCTGCGCAGGGCCTCCAGCTCTTCCTTGGCCATGAGGATGGTGGTCTCCTCCTCCCCGGGCACTGCTCGCAACTTCGAAGTAGCCATGGTGACCAACGGTTCAGAGGGCGCAGGGTTTGGGGGAGAGTCACAGGACGCGTGGTCCTCAGCGTCTGCGGGGGCACAAGGGAGCCGTTCACTTCTTCTGGGCCTTGGCACAGGGTAGGAAGAGAGAGAGACACCAAGGATATAAGGGAAGTCTGTCCGGCACCTCACAGCCCAGTCCTTCTTAAAACAACCTGGGTACATCTTTGACACAAGGAAGGGGGCTCTAGAGTCCCACACGCCCAGGCTCCCATCCCATCCTTGCCACTGACTTGCTGTGTGGCCTGGGGGCAGAATTAAGTACCTCTCTGAGCCTGTTCCTCTGCGTAAAGGGCATGGTGACTGGCCTGCCTCCTGAGGTGCTCAGGAGTCCTCCGGGTAACAGTTTGATGGCAGCTTGTGACAGGGCCCCAGGCTCAAAAGGCTCAGCTCTTGGCTTAATGCTCTCCTGACACTGACGAAATTCTTAATGATATTTGAACCAGGGGCCCTGTGTTTTCATTTTGTACCAGGTTCCACAAATTTTGTACCCAGCCCTGCAAAGGAAAGGGCTTAAGCCCCGCACCAGGACCCAGGCAGAGTACACTGTGTCCTGCTACTGCTGTTGGGAGCAGCGGGAAGGGGTGATGAAAAGGACCCACACCCTGGAGCCAATCCTAGAGTTAAATCCTGGCTTCCCTACATACACACTGAGTGACCTGGGGCAAGTGACTTGAAATTCTCTGCCTTGTTCCTCTCATCTGTAAGATGAGGCCAGTAACTATGATAATAGCAAACCACCTCCAGTTGTTGAGAACTAAGTGAGTTGATACAGATAAAGCATTTGAAATAGTGCCTGGCCCACGGCAGGTGGTCTGTGTTATCTTATCCCTGTTAATATTCCTAGCTGTGTGACTTCAATCCCCTGCAGTCTCTGCGCCACAGGCAAGCAAGACCTGTAATGATTGTGAGCCCACCTATCTATCCCTAGGCCAGTATTCTGGGGTTCAGCTGGTGGAAGAAGCCTGGCATGAGGGGATGCCCAGACACTGAGAGTCCTCATTAAACACCCAGATCTGCCCTAGTTGCTAAACTCAGCTCATGCTAGGGATCACTGTCCCCATCAGACAGGGAGGGACTGAGACTCAGACTACACAAGTGATGTCCCTGCACAGAGGCCCAGCCAGGACTCAAACTCAGGTCCCCGGGCTCCCTCATCCCTCTGAAGAGCTGCCCTCTCTTCAGCTACATATATTTGCCTCCCTGCTTGTCTTCTCCCTCCTTGTCTGGGCTGTCCTCCTTCACCCCCCACAGAAATGTGTCCTTATTACATTATTCCCACCAGGTCTGTTCCCCCAACCTAGGTGGAGGCATTTCTCCCATGCTATGCCCACTCTCCCTACACCCTGTCCCCCTAAGCCATGTAAGGATATGGCCCAAGGATCGGAGAACAGGTGCTAGATAGAGTAGGTCCCAGCAGCCAGGGCCAGACAGGTCAGTGGGCCCTGGGGTGGGATTAGGGCTGAGGGAGCTAGGATTGACCCTGGAAGTCCCTACCTCCCTTCACCCACAAGCCCATCCAGACAGCTCTGCCCTCAGGGGACTTACCTGCCCTGCAGGCTCTCCCTCTCCCCTCACACTTTCCCCGCTGGTGGGGTCTCCTCCCTTAGCCCAAGGTCAGACCTGTTGCTAGGACCCATTATAATAGCAAGCAGCAGCTTATTGGTCAGCCAACCCTAATGCAATAATGTGACAGTGATGTCAGGGGGCGGGGTCCCATGGCAGGGCAGGGACCCCATCCCCCAGCTGCTGCTGGGCCCCCCCACCCCTGCTTGGTCACACTGGGCCCTCAGTCCCCCACAAGGGACTCAGAGAGATCTTTGTAACACCAAGAAGTTCACAACCTATCTGTGGTCTCCATCACCTGCAGGACAAAGTCCCAGCTCCTCAGCTGGCATCCAAGGGCCTGATGCTGCTCACCACCCACCCTCTAATTCTCCTTCTAGGGGACTGTTTCCCAAACAACTCATACATGTTCCCTTTGGGGCACCATCTACTCACCTACCACCCCGAGGTGTCCCATGCGTGCTCTGAGGGTGCCGGTTTGGCTTCACCAGCTGGGGAGAGGCCAGGTGTGAAACCACCACCACAGTCACTGCCACCATGCCTTGGCCAGGACTGGCACCCATGCAGCACAGCCCAGTGCCAGCACCACACCCCAATTCAGTATCTGGTATCTAGGCTCCCAGGTTCTGGCCTCTCCCTCCCCAGAGCTTTCACGTCCTCTCCTGCCCACTCTAGGGTGACAGCTTGGTCCCCTCTGTCCCTCTCCCGCCTCTGCCGCCTTACGACCACTGCAGGTGCCAGCACTGGGACAAACTGGGAGGCAATCTGAATGAGAAGAGAGCCTGAGGTGGGGTGGGGAAAGAAATACTCCAAGAAAACAGCAGAGGAAGAGTCCCGCCAGAAGACAGGGTGGACAAGAAACCACCTCAGAGGGACGCCTGGGTGGCTCAGTGGTTGAGCATCTGCCTTTGGCTCATGATCCTGGGGTCCTGAGATCAAGTCCCCACAGGAAGTCTGCTTCTCCCTCTGCCTGTGTCTCTGCCTATCTCTGTGTCTCTCAAAAATAAAATCTTTAAAAAAGAAAAACCACCTCTGACAGAAGCAGGAAGGGACCGGTCAGAGACACAGGTCACAGAGAGGATGAAAATGTACAGAGCCTGAGAGATGTGGGACCAAGGCGTGGAACTGAAGGTCAACAGATTTAAAAATAGTTGCAGACCTTCCCAGACACTGAGCACGTAGACCCGGACTCCTCCCCTAAAGTCACAGACGTGCACACCTGGCCCAAGAGGGAAGGTAGAGGCACAGACCCTCCGGTTATTTACAGAAAAGCCCAAGTCAGGCAGATATGCAGCCCACACACAGCCAGACACACACAGACCTGCAGACCAGCCACGAGAGACTCCATCACACGCAGGCAACATACGCGGGTCATGGCCCCTGGGGCCCCCTCACCAGTCCCAGCCCTCATGCATTCAGGCCCCCTCTCCTGATCCCCAGTGCTCAGCCAGCTATGAGTCGATGCTCCAGAAGTGCGGCAGCCCCAGGCTCTGCCCTCGGGGTCTCTAGGTCAGAGGGAGGGGACATGGTCACAGCCCCCCCGGGTGACTGAGGGCCGAGACAGGAGACAGCCGCTGGGCACCTGCAGAGATGCATCTGGCGCAGGAGGGCACACTGCCAGGGGCATTCCTACCAGCTCCTGAGAGCACCAGCCCAGGAGAGGCTGCTCCCTGGCCTGTCTGCCAGGCCTCCTCTTTCCTTGTCATTCATCACACATTCCGCACCTCTCCAGGCTCCATCCTGGGCTGGGTGCTGGAAACACAGCAATGACCAAGACAGCCCTGAGCTCTGTCCCTCCTGGGCTCCCAGTCCTGTGTGGGAGTCACATCCATCCACAGACAGTGACGACCCAGGACTGGAATAGGGGACCCCAGAGGGCTGTGGGAACACAGGGGGCAAATGACCCAACCTGGGGGGTCAGGGAGGGCTTCCTGGAAGAGAGGGCACCTGAGCTGCGATCTGTGAGCCTGGTGGCATGTTGGGGAGTTGTATCCCAGGCCATGGGACCACCTTGTGCAAAGACTGAGTTAACGGAGAGCTCTCATTCACCCAGTAATTTATATAGTTATTTGGTCATTCCCCAAATATTTGCTTAGACCTGACCCTAGGCCAGTCCCTGTAATGGTCCAGAGGTGTGAATCACACTCATCCCTGCCCTTCTAGACCTCAAGGCTGCTGGGGGCTGCTGACACAACCACACACAGGTCAGAGTGCTACTTACTGGATGTTTACAATGTACCAGGCACGGTGTGAATTCCATCAGATGAAGTAGCTCATTTAACTGGGACTAGAATTCTGTTCTCCCCACCTGTCATCCCCAGACAGACACAAACCCCAGGAGCTGAGACTGGAATAGGGAGGCAGACAGAGACAAATGAGATAAACACATTTATTCATTTCATTCTTTCCACAGATTCCCTGTATAATCAGATCTATGGTGCCACTGGATGTCAAATGCATCATTTTCTGTCCCACTAACAAGGGCAAAAATTGCTGCCAGTACATGTATGATACAACATTCCCTTATCACCTAAAATTTTTATTTTACACTTACTCTTTGTAAACTTGGAAAATACAGATTTTTTTTTTTATCATTTATCACTTGCATGTGTATCTAACTGGGAAAATACAAGGGAAATAAATTGGCGAAGATGTTCCTAACCACGGAGTCTGACTCTGTGGAATCGCTTCCTCCTCTGAGCACAGGATGCTTTCCGACACTCCACGTCCTGGTCCTCTGCGCCACCAGGAGCACTGATGAAGCTGTTAAAAGCAGCTCCATTATCACATCAAGGCAGTGACAGCTACGTCACAATGGCTGCCTGGCTGACAGTGATTGTAAGGTGCCATCAGCTGTGACTTTCCCGATTTCAGAATTGCTAAAATGTGGGGGCGGGCGGAGGAAGTGCACCTTAGAATCGGTGAAGGTGATTCCTGAGTGTCCACTGTGTGTCTGCCAGGCTGGGAATAGCAATAGAGACAGTGGGGTGGGGGCACTTCCTGCGGCATGTGCATGCTGTGTGCCAAGGACCCATTGGTTGATGTTTGGAGCCCAGCCGTGACCACAGGCAGCTCCAGCCCTGACCCCATAGGACTCAGAGTCCAGTGAGGGACACAGAATCCTCCTCTGACCCTGACGACCCACAGGGGTAAAGTAGGGATGGAGTCCCCAGACAAGCGTGAGAGCCAAGTGGGTGCCTGACCCAATGGGGGTTCGGGTAGAGTCAGTGAAGGCTCTTTGGAGAAAGTTCATTCACCAAACACACTTTCTGGGGACACCTACTGTGTGCCAGGCCCTGCTTTCCTCACGAAGCTCCAAGCACTCTACCTCCTCTTCTTCCTATTTCTTAATCTTATTTATTTAGTTATTTTTAAAGATTTCATTTATTTATTCATGAGAGACAGAGAGAGAGTGGCAGAGACACAGGCAGAGGAAGAAGCAGGCTCCATGCAGGGAGCCCGACATGGGACTCTGGGACTTGATCCTGGGGACTCCAGGATCACGCCCTGGGCTGAAGGTGGCACTAAACTGCTGAGCCACCTAGGGATCCCAGTCTTTTTTATTTAAATTCAATTAATTAACAGACTGTATTATTAGTTTCAGAGGTAGAGGTCGGTAGTTAGTCTTATAGAACACCCAGTGCTCATCACATCACGTGCCCTCCTCGATGCCCATCACCCAGTTACCCCCTCCCCACATTCTCTCCCCTCCAGCGACCCTCAGTTTGTTTTCTAGAGTTGAGAGTCTCTTCTGGTTTGTTTCCCTCTCTGATTCCATCTTGTTTTATTTTTGCCTCTCTTCCCCTGGATCAAAAGACTTAGAGAATTTCCATGAGGTGCTGTTGAGGTAGAAAAGCAAGATGCAGAGTGCTGTAGCTAATGTCCTATTAAAGACTAAAAAACCCTTATACCAACATGCATGTGTATATGTGTACGTATCTACACAGATACTGATATCAATGCATGCATAAGTGTGTCCCTATATGTATTTATGCATCAAACGTCTAGATGGGATTATTTGACTTCAGGGAATAACAGGAAGACCTACGGGAGGCTGTTAGTATGAAATCCCGGGGCGGGGGGTGGGGGGTGCCTCTGGGCAGAGTCTACAGGGAGAAAAGAGAGAGAGGAGGGAAAAGCAAAGGGGGGAAAATTCAAAGCAGGTACATTTGTAGCAAAAGTACAAGTACGGTGTTGTTCAGGGTAGCACTTATCTCAGGAGAGGAAAGGCATTTGGTCAGTGAAGGGGCCACGGGGGATTACAGCTGTTTTGATGTTTCCTGTCAGCTGAGCGGTGAGAGACACTGCTTACTCTTTGTTTTTGTATGTCCTAAGTAATTTGTAATAAATTTTAGAAACTTGAGTAATGTACTCACATTGGTGCCCTTACAGAAAAGCAGGAATATACAATAAAATTGAACTCTCAAAAAACAAAATTGAACTCTGCCTGGGCTAACCTCCTCCCACTCACCCCGACCCACCCTCTCTGGACTCCAGGGTCACAGTCATCAGATGGCTGATGCTGCCTGCAAGCATTTCCTGAGCACCTCTGTGGGCTCCCAGCTCAGCTGAGGTGGATCACGTCCTGACCCCATCCCCTGGGCCTCCAATCTCACAGAAACATCTCCTTCCTTCCTCATCACCCCAGGCTCCTCTGCACCCCCACCTTACAGCAGACATTCTCCAGACAGGAGGGCTTCCTGGGGAGCAGAAAGAGAGGGGCTTCTGAAGGCACACACCCATCTGGGCTGTGTAGCCCCAAGGGCGCTCCCCTTCCCCAACGATAGTAGATAAAGGCTGTTATTTACTTGTATCAAACTCTGATTTCTGTGCACTTATGGTCCTCACCCAAGGTCACAAAACTAATAACTGGCAAAGCTGGCATTTGATCCCACAGAGACTGGTACCAGAGACCACACTCTTCTTTTATTTTAGAGAGCAAGAGGGAGGGAGGGGAGCATACGAGCAAGGGGGAGGGGCAGAGGCAGAGGGAGAGGGAATCTCAAGCAGGCTCCACGCTGAGCATTGGGGGCTCAATCTCATGATTTGGAGATCATGATGTGAGCAGAAATCAAGTCATATGCTTAACAGACTGAGCCACCCAGGCACCCCCAGAGTCCACACTCTTAACCACCATCCCTCTCTGATGTGACTCCCATCTGCATATCAAAGTAGGCAGTTTTCTTTTTTAAAGATTTTATTTATTTATTTGAGAGAGAGCATGAGAGAGAGCTTGCAAGCTG